CACGCCCACGCCCACGCCCCGCGCACCACAACCAGCCGCTGCAATAATTTAGCTTTATTGGTACAAACGGTTCAGAGCTCGACCTGCCCCCTCCTCCCTGCCCGGGCAACAGGTTTGGGCCCTGGGCCCACCCAGAGGAGGGGAGGAAGCAGGGATCCGTAGTCTTCTGAGCCACAGGCCCGGTCCCCCCCTCACTTCTGGCGCTTGTAAATGATGTGAGCCAGGTCTAGGAAGATCTCCTTGGGGAGGCAATGGGTATGCGCTTCAATCAGCTGCTGCAGGCGCTGAAAGCTACACTCCTCATACTCCTGGTAGACAGCCCTCAAGCCCAGAGCTTCATACAGCTCCATGACCCTGGCCACCTTCTCCACCTCTTTCTGCCCATAGTTCTCCTGCAAGCAAAGAACAAGGTCAGACATGAGCCTGAAGTCCAACACAGGCAGCATGTCCAATGTCTGACCCCTGCTGTTAAGTCCCAACCTAGCCCCCCTACATCCAGGGAGCTTCCCCATAAGCTTAGTAAGTCAGGCAGTAACCCCCACTCCCCCCACTGCAGACCAACAGCGGGGGGGTGTCAGGTCTTAAATCTCGCTAAAAGAATACCTCCAAGAGCTGCCTCTGCTCCGGCGAGGCCCGGCGCAGGCACTCCACTACGAGCCAGCTGCACTTGTTGTCCTGGATGTCAGTGCCAATCTTACCCGTCAAGCTAGGATCCCCAAAGCAATCAAGGAAGTCATCCTGTGGGCAGATAGGGCCTGCTGTGCTGTGACCGTCCAGAGTACAGGGGCCCATGGGAGGGGAAGGGGCCTCTTACCTGGATCTGGAAGAACTCCCCCATCTCCAACAGGATGGCCTTTGCATTAGCATGCTCCTCCTCACTCTCTATGCCAGCCTGCAAGGAGAGCAGAGAACTGAGACCCCCCAGCCCCTTCACCACCCTGGTCCTCTGCTACACACAGCCCCTGAGTCCTCCCCCAGCTCCTCAGCCAGCAGTACCTGCCCCAGCCCACCCAGACATGCACACCACCACACTCCCTCCCACAGCAGAGCTGCCGGGTCACCCCTGCCAGCCAACAGCGTACGGGCAGTAGAGGACACTCACCATGTACATGGCAGCAGCAACAGGCAGGTAGAAAGAGTAGAAAGCCGTCTTGTATTTAACAATTGCCTTGTACCTGCCAGACAGGAGCCACACTCAGTGACCAAGGCCCACAGGGTGCCAGGAGCACCTTGCAGACACTGGAGCCATTTCCCAGGAGCAACTGGCTACAGCATTGCCCCAGAGACATCAAAGCCTCTAGCTTGTAAAGACAGCAGCCAGGGGGGAGCAGCCCGGAGGAGAAGCTCCCTGCTACCCCTCAGCTACACAGAAGGGCCCTGCAGGGCAATGGGTACTGCCGAGGCAGCCACATACGTGAGCCACAACTGCCCCGGTCACCATACCTGCCCCCAGATGGCAGGCCTTACCCCCTGGGCCTCACCTCTGCTCAGTGAAGCGGGCCAGGTCCACCTGGGTAGGGGGAGCTGTGATGAGGTCCAGAGCCTGTCCCAGCTCCGTCTGGTAGCTGGTCTGAGGGGGAAGGAGATGTGAGGGCCCAGCTTCACTACGTGCTACTCATGTGGCCCTGAAGGCCCCACCCCTGGACACTCAGAGACCATCCAGGGGAACAAGCAGCTGCCACCACACAGCATAGGGCTTGCACCTCCCAGCAGGCATGTGGCAGTTCTCCGACCGTGACCTGCAGACCCAAGCGAGGTCAGACATGCCCAAGGGGAGCCGATTTAGGGCAAGCAGGGTGCAGAGAGGAAAATGGAAGCAAGGGGCCAGCCTCACCTGCAGGAAGAGCTCCAGCAAGTGCAAGTAGTAGGGCTGCCCCCGGCAATATTTCTTCAGCAGCCGGTAGATGGAGGATTCAAGGAGGAAGGAGTCGTTCACAGCATCCAAACCAATCCCCTCCTGCAACAGAAGGCCCAGGAGTGGTGAGAGCCAGCCCTCTTCCATCCAGCCCCTACCAGGCTCAATGCTTCAGTCCTCCCCTACACGCACCACAAGGCAAGCCAGCAGCAGAGTTCAAGCTACAAGGCTCAAGCTTTGGGCAAAACACCTGGATGCATCAGAACAGGGATTCTCAATGGGTGCCATGAGGGGTAGCTACACCAAGGAGAAATCTGTCAGCATCAGCACAGGGAGACCCGTGAGGCAGAAATTTGGTGGTGTAGAAACTGTGAGACTTAACACTGCTGCCAAAACTTCCCAGCTCTGTGTGATAGGATCCAGCCACGGCTCAAAGAGGTGGGCAAGCCCATGCGCATAGACAGCCTGAACACACTGCACCCCTTCTCCAGCATCAGGAGGCAGCACACGGCCCCTTTTAATCCAGATGTGCCGTGGGAATCAGAAGCGCAGGGAAAACCGATTCAGAACGTGGACAAGAACATCACAAGGGAGGACAAGAGCAAAGTAAACTGCTACAACAAGGCACGATGCAAGACAGTACATCCCAGGGTAGGGCATGCCTGGGAAGGGCTGGGACAAATGTTGCAACTGCATGAGAGTGTGAATTGGCAAAGAAACACGAAGCAAGAGCATCTCATGTGGGCGAGCAGCAATGGGAAAAGCACTTTGCCCGTGCAGAGCCCCGCACTGCCCAGGGGGCACATGAAGCATCCAAACTGCTGTGGCAGGACCTGGAAGCAGCGATGCCCAGTGCTGTCCACCCCCCTGCCCCGGCCCCTGTACCTTCTTATACCAGCACGGCCGGCCCCGGCGGGTGAGGGACGAGTCCATGATATCATCCGCCACCAGGAAAAAAGCCTGGAGCTACAACAAGAACAAGTCCTTCTCGTACCACACCGGGACTCAGCAGTCGAGACCCAGGTCCCCTCAGGCACCGAGGGCTGCGCCAGCCTCCTGGCGGGGAGCCCGACGGGGTCCGCGTTGCCCCCAGGCCCTTCGGGAGCCTGCTCCCCCCCGCACCCAGGTCCCCCAAGCCCGTCCTCACCAGCTCGATGCACCAGCCAACCGCCAGCGCGCACTGGACGCTATCCGGGCCCTGCTGCTCGGGCCGCACGAGGCGGCGGAAGGCGGCCAGCACAGTCAGGCCCCGCGTGTGCTTCCCGCCCGGGCTGTTGTACTCCAGCACCTGTGGCGACAAGCGCGTGGCTCCACTGGCACCGGCCCGGCCTGGCCTGGCCTGACAGCGCCCACCCCGGGCACCGCGCGAGGGCGAGCACAGCCTCCTCCCCGCTCACCTCCTTCAGCCGGGCCACCGCGTCGCCCACCTCGGGGTGCCGCAGCCCGTCGGCCGTGAGGTCGCGCACGACCTGCGGGAAGAAGCCCTCGAAGGCCTGGCGGTCCGCGCCCATCGCC